GAAAAGAAGAGGAAAAACAAGAAAGAAGAAAATCAGACCTAAGGCTGCTGCACCTCTCTTCTCTCTTCTTTGATTTTTCTTGAGTTTTCACCATGACCATGCGTGGATAAATTCTAATACTTGGTCGAAGGAAACAGAAGCCTCAAAATCAACAAAACTGTGAGATCTAATTTGATTTTTATTGTTTGATTTATGTTTTGAATATTGGAGGTTCTTCTATGTTCATGTTTATGATTGTTTCGTCAGATTGCTAGGAGGCCTACAAGTTTATTATTTGTTGCAATCTACTGTTAGGTTAGATATCAGATCCGTAATTGTTTGATCCCTCTAATCTCCGAAGCAACTAGCGTTTAATGATTTGTTGCGTTAGAAATTGTTAGATCTTAGGAAGAACATTCGACCGAATTAAATGCAATCGCTTGTGCTTGTGTTGTTTAGCTTCATCGATCTCTAATGCTTAAGGCTACTGTTGGATTAAATCTTTAACGCTTGTTTAGGGATTGTTCAGTAGTAAGGGTTAAGAGGATCGCTTGTTTTTCGATTAACTRAGATTAGGGAGATGCAGTAAAATCCTTCATCAACATGAACCATTCCTTCTTATTGATTAGATAGGACTTTATTTTGAGATGAAATGTAAATAGATAATGAAGATCAAAACTAGTGAGTGGGCGTCATCGGAAAAGATCTCATAGAAATAAAATCATCTTAACTGCTCCAGTTTCTTCTAACTAAATCTTGGCTTACTATTTTATTGGCCTTTCTTGATAATTGTCCAATTTTCCTTAGTTATTCCCTTATTGACAAAACTATTAAAAGTTCTTTCCTTTTTTCCTCTCTTTTTTTTTGTTTTTTTTCTTCTTTTTCACTATCTCTCTTCTCTCTCTCTCTCTCTCTCTTGTTTAAGCACTTGCTTGGTTACTATAATTGCATTTTACTTGGTTTTGACACCCACTTGCGAGGAGGTGTTTATTGTGAGAACAAAAATTGGATAGGAAGGATCAAAGGATCAACTAGGGGCTTTACTTCACATAATCAGGATTGAGTGTACAAAGTTAAACAAGCAACCAAGGATGGCCTCCCCACTCTGGATATGGTTATGGTTCCTTTGGTAGGAGTAAATTTTCTTTTTTTCACATTTTTTTCTTCTTTTATCTCTCCTTTTTCTTTTCTTTTTATTTCATTCAATTTTATCCCTGTAATGACCCTTGAGGTACATCCCATGGATTTGGCTAGTTCACCGAAGAAAAGGTCTAATGCATCAAATCAATTGGTTAACTAGCAATTTTTGCAAATTCATAGGGTCATTGAGGAAATAGAAATGACGGAGGATGATGCATAGTCCTTTCTTTCATTAATCAATAGAGGATTAGGTTAGAATGATGCCTTTGTTCTATGTCGGCTTAGGCATTACATTCATAGGGAGTTTGCTATGCTTTGATAGTTTCAATGTTGCCATAGTTTGAATAATGAGGTGGTTTTATTAATGGTTAAGGGTCAATGATGACTGTTAGCACCTAATTTTTGCTCGGTCCCTTCACCCTACCTCTTTGTATTCTAAAAACTTTAAACACAACCAAATTAACTTGAGACTTTCCAAACCCGAAAAAAACCCTCATTTGACCCAATCCACAGGACAAACAAGAACCTTGATCAAACATCATCCCCTGACTTTAAAAACTATAACTTAGTTACACATCAATTTTCATGGCTAAACTCTAAAGATCCACTGTTCATCACGCCAACTTCCTTTTTAATGGTTCCGATCTATGTGATATCCAAATTCCAATTCCTCCAAAATCAAGTCCAACATATCCATCACCCAAAGATCATTAGGAAATAATCAACAAGTGGATCCCACCACAAATCTTCAACAACCAACCACAAAAACATCAAGATCTCATTCGGATGGGCCTGAATGATTACCAAGATTGAAAGTATATTTCTCATATCAGAACCATCCACTTGACTCGTTACCTTAATCCATGCCTACCTACCAAGTTGTAGCTTAATATCCCCTTGTTTAACCCCCCATCAAGCCTATATCCTATTCCAACAAATCTCATTAATTAGAGCCTATCATCCATTATCCCAACTTCACATGACAAATCATACCATACCACTGTGTTCGGAGACCCAAAAAACCCCAGGACACCAACTTTCATGACCAGACTCATTCATTTGACCATTAAACTAGAAAGATACCATTTCGATGCACCAGATTAAATTGTCATGTCATCTGACCCAACCTGAAGCCTTAAAAGGGTGGTAGGTGATGTCAAACCCATTCTTGATCCATTAGAACACCTGGACCAATCAAACAAAGCCTAATAGACCCAAAAATCTCAAAATACCAAACAACCCCTACTTAAGACCAAGAAAAGACAAAATATCTGTTAAAAGTTCATCAAATTTACATTTTCTGCCACTAATAGCCCCAAATACGAGACTTTATCGTCTGACACACCCCAAGCTCCCATTGGACACACAAAACCCGTGAAAT